CAACTTGAGGTGGAAAGGGCTTATTTGGCTTACAGTTTCATATCACTGTTCATCATTGGAAAAAGTCAGGGTAGGAACTCAAACAGAGCAGGAACCCAGAGGCAGGAGCTGATGCAGAAGCCAAGGAAGAGTGCTGCTTACTGGCTTATTCCTATAGCTTGCTTAGCCTGCTTTCTTATAGGACCCAGGGCCACCAGCCCAGGGATGGCACCACCTACAAAAGGTTGGGCATTCCCCCATCAATCACTAATTAAGAAAATGACCTACAGCTAGGCCTATAGCCCAATCTTATGGAGGCATTTTCTCAAATGAGGATCCCTCTTCACTGTTGACCCTAGTTTGTATCAAGTTGACACAAAACTAGCCAGCACTCATACACATAATTTGAAAACAGTTTTTTTGTTTTGTTTTGTTTTTGTTTTTCGAGACAGGGTTTCTCTGTGGCTTTGGAGGCTGTCCTGGAACTAGCTCTTGTAGACCAGGCTGGTCTCGAACTCACAGAGATCCACCTACCTCTGCCTCCCGAGTGCTGGGATTAAAGGCGTGCACCTCCAACGCCCAGCTTGAAAACCGTTTTATCAGTTCTAAGATGGTCAAATAGCCAGGTATGTCTATAGTCCTAGCTATTCAGGATACCGAGCTAGGAGGACCATTCAAGCCCAGGACTTTGAAACCAGCATGGAAAAAACAGAACCAAGTCAAACCAAATAAGTAAACAGAAGAAACCCCAACGTGGCAGCACACACAACCGTAATTCCAACGCTTGTAAACTGTCCTACTTTGCTTTTAATTGCTGTGATAAACACTATGACCAAAAGTGACTGAGGGAGGGAGGAAAGGGTTTATTTGGCTCACATGTCCCAGTCCCAGGCCATCACTGAAGGAGGTCAGGAGATACACAAGCAGGAACTGGAGCAGAAGCTATGGAAGGATGCTGCTTACTGACTTGCTCCCCAGAAACATTTCAGCTTGCTTATTTTTGGTACAACTTAAGACCACCTGCCCAGGGTGGTACTACCCATAATGGGCAGGGCCCTCCCACATTAACCATTAATCCAGAAAATGCCTCCACAGTCATGCCTACAAGGCAATGTGATGAGGTGTTCTGTCAGTTGAGACTCTCTCTTCCCAGATGACCCCAGCTTATGTCGTTAACAAAAAACTTCACCAGAACATAGAAGAATCAGTAATTCACATTCCAAATAAAGCCATAGCCTTGCACATGTTAGGGCACTGATTATATAATATATATTATATAATCAGTGCCCTTATTCTTAACTCTTAACATAGGGCCTGGAAATATAGTAAACATGATAAAATGTTTTTAGACCAATGAATGCATGTGATTGAATAACTTAGAAACCATGGGACTATCAGCAGGGCATCAAACACACCCAAAAAAAAAAAAAAAAAAAAAGGCTCAAGGCCTTGTAAGATCAGGTCCCCACTCTGCCTGTGATGACCCCACCTCCACCCCCAAGATGACACCTGTCAGGCCCGTTGGAAAAGGATAACACTCAGTGGTAGTCTGCCTCAAAAATGTTAGAAAGAAGGATCCTGGCCACCCTGCTTCCGGCCAAGCTGTCTGGCTAGTGTGGTTTGCATTCTTGTGAGCTGAGCATTGGTGGAATTTCCAGCCTAGGGAGCAGAATGGAACTTGGAACAAATAGGTCAGCAGAAAAGAGCCCAGCAACAATGGGGCTGCTCAGCTGCCCTTTTGCTAGCTCTTGAACTCAGAATATCAGAGCTCAGCAGACCCTGGTAAATGGGGGATAACACATTCATCAAATTGGCCATGCTGAGGACCCAGAGACAGATGTCCATGTTTGGACAGTATTAAAAACCTTTGAGGAAGCCTGTTGTGGTGGTACATGCCTTTAAGTCCAAGCACTCAGGTGGCAGAGTTATGGCTAGCTTGGTCTACATAGCAAATTCCAGGCCAAGTTGTTGGGTCCAAAAGAAACAAATGGTTAACTGTGTGCCTATTAGCATACCAAAGCACATGCTGGCCTCCTGGTTCTCTCAGCATTGCAAACATCTGTTACAGAGTCCATGCTGGCATCCTGGCTCTTCTCACTCTGCCTCTCTTGTTCCCCACTGCACCCCCCACCCCTGCTTCCTCTCATGGCCATGTTCAGTCTACCGCTTTCTCTTTCTGCTCTGCAGCCTCTGGCTGTTCTCTCCTTCATATCTACAATAAAGACCTTCCTTTCAATCATACCTGGAGGGAGCAGGGCGTTGGTGGCCCACGCCTTTAATCCCAGCACTTGGGAGGCAGAGGCAGGCGGATCTCTATGAGTTCAAGGCCAGCCTGGTCTCCAGAGTGAGTGCCAGGATAGGCTCCAAAGCTAAGCAGAGAAGCCCTGTCTTGAAAAACAAAACAAAACAAAACAAAACAAAAAACCATACCTGGAGGGGTCATGTCCTCACTTTATACACATATGAGAGAGACCCTATCTCACCAAGAGACACACAACAAAACCTCTCCCAGATTTGCTGAAACGCCGTGGAGTGGCCTGTTGTCACTTCCTCTCTCCCAGCAGCAAGGACAGGTCTGGAAGATGGTCGCGAAGTTTCCCACAAGAGCTGAAGGATGCTTTGGATATGGGGCCTGGATGAGGATGAAGGGGGCAGCCATGGCAGGATGCAGGGTACTGTGCACCCAGCTTTTTATGTGGGTTCTAGGGATTGAACTCAGGTCCTTATGCTTTCCAGGCAAGCTGCTGACGGAGTTCCCTCCCTGTCACACTCTCTTCCTTTATGGAGTACTTGTTTACTTATATTTGAGACACTGTGCCTTACTCAGAGTAATACCTGCCTTCAATTCTTTAATAATCTGGAAGACAAGATCTAGATACAAATAAATGGGTCTCCATCAATAATCCGTGATAGTCTTGAAGGCATCAATGCCTTGAGCAAACACAGAGAAGGAACTGCCGCCAAGGGTTGACACAGCAGAATTCCCTCCCGTGTTTTGCAGTGTGATTGATGGCATACTTCCCAAACTCCATCATGTGGAAGAGATTGAGGCCAGGCCAACAGAAAGACCAGTGTCTTTGAGGTTGTGTCACCTGTAGTTAGTCTTTCCAGTGTGAAACAGGTCCCTTCCTCTTTGACTGTCTTGCCCTGAAACCATCAGCAGCTAGTCCCTTGAGATGCTCTTGTTGTTTCCCCTGCCCCTCCCCCTTTGGCTGGTTATAGGAGCCCTTGTAATCCTAGTTCTGGGGAGACAGAGGCAGGTGGGTCTCTGGTGATCCCTGCCCAGCCAGCCTAGCTGAATTAGTGCATACCAAGCCTAGGGAGAAACTAAGTCCCTAAAAACAAGGTGGGGTGGCACGATGGCTCTGTAGATAAGGGTACTTGTTGCCATGCCTGACAACCTGAGTTTGATCCTCTAGATTCCTGCAAGTTTTCCTCTGACCTCTACATACATGCCATGGCATTTATTACATACATACTTACACACATGAAAAAATAGGGTAGATGATACTTGAGGCCTGGACACCTAAGTTGTCCACTGGCTTCGAAGGAAACCATGAACACACAGGTGCATGTGCACCAAGCCCCCATTCATCTACATCACCACCTCTACCAACACTAATAAAAACCAAAACCCACAGATTTGGTAGTGTAGGCCTTTAATCTCAACATTCTTGAGACAGAGGCAGGAGTGTTAACCAAAGGCCTGCCAAGGCTATACAGGAAGACCTTATCCTAAGGAAGAGAGAAATCAGCTGGAGAGGTAGAGTACTTCCTGCTCCTGCCTGTGCTTACTTAGTTCACAGCACCCATATCTGGTAGTTCAGGATCACCTGTAACTCCAGGTCCAGGAGACCCAGTATGTATAGTTTCATACATGCACTCACACACATACATAAAATAAAAAGAAATACGTCTTTTTTTAAACAGGGAAAAAAGGGCTGGGGTTCAATTGGTAAAGTGTTTGCCTAGAACATGTGAAGCAAACTTTGTAAAAAAAAAAAAAAAAATGGTGATAGACCCAAGTGGTGCATGCCCTTAATCCCAGCAGATCCCTATGAGTTCCAGGCCAGCTAGGGCTGCACAGTGAGCAGAAAAGAAAAGAAAGGAAAAGAAAAGAAAAGAAAAGCTAATTGGGTGGTAGAGGTCCAAGATCATCCTTGGCTCTGTCTACCTAGTTCAAGGGTAGTTTGAGATACATGTGACTCTGTGAAGAAGGAGGAGGAGGAGGAAGAGGAGGAGGAAGAGGGGGAGGGAGAGAGGGAGGAGAAGAGAGGGCAGGAAAGGGCAGAAAAAGGAGGAAAGAAGAGAAGGGACAAAAAGAGCAAAAAGAAATTTTCATAAGAGATGTTAAGCAAAGGTGGTGGTGTCAGGCAGTGTTGAACCAGGAAGATATATGGTGTCACAAAAGCAAGTCACCTAGGATCCATCCTGGGAGGTTGGGGGAAGGGAACTAATATGTCCTGTTTATTAGCCAGGTGTGATGGCGCACACCTTTAGTTCCACAGCCAGGGCTACACAGAGAAACCCTGTCTCAAAAACAAACAAAAGGGAGAGGGAGAGACAGAGAGAGAGAGAGAGAGAGAGAGAGAGAGAGAGAGAGAGAGAGAGACTTGTTGGCTACAGCTACAGGGCTGTACTGGCTGGTTTTGTGTGACAACTTAACACAAGCTAGAGTCATCAGAGGAAGGAGTTTCAGTTGAGGAAATGCCTTGATGAAAGGCATTTTCTCATTTAGGGAGAAATGGGGGAGGTGGTGCTATCCCTGGGCTGTTGGTTCTGAGTTCTGTAAGAAGGTGGGCTGAGCAAGTCGTGGGAAGCAAGCCAGTAAGCAGCACTCCTCCATGGCCTCTGCATCAGCGCCTGCCTCCAGGATCCTGCCCTGCTTGAGTTCCTGTCCTGACTTCTTTCAGTGGTGAACAGCAGTGCTGAAGCATATGCAAAATAATCTCTTTCCTCCCCAACTTGCCTTTTGGTCATGGTGTTTGTCACAGCCGTAGAAACCTTAACTGAGACAAGGGTCTTGACATATCTTTCGATATATTCAGAACTCAGTTCTTCAACAGCCATGAGGAGGGCAGGACTTCTAAGTGAAGACGAGGGGGAACTGGTATGGAAAAGGCATCTCTCCATTTACTGGCTGAGTCATTTCCTCAGTGGTTGTCACGGCTTTCTCCTCTACCCTGAAGAGGAAGCAGACATTTAAAAGTATACCTAGGCCACAATTCTCATAGAGAAGCATACATTTGATTCTCAGGGCCCCAAAGTCAAGTCAGGTGGAAACCGGGTATTTTTGGTTCTCATTTCTATGTCTTGTGGTTCTTTTCTCTGCCCTCAGACCCAAGATAGGCCCCAAAGCTAAACTGTAGCTACTACCACTCACACTCCAGAAGGCAGAATGATTTCTAGCTGTATTAATGTATTTTTTTTTTTTAAATCTGTGTTGGGTCATTGTTCAGTTGGTAAAGAGCCTGAGTAGCAAGATCGGAAATCCCCAGGATCACATACTACAGGCAGAGCATGTCTGTACTCTCAGCACTTGGGAGGTAGAGACAGGAAGATCAGAAATTGGTTATCTTTTCTATGTATGGCATTCAGAGCAGCCTGGGATATGTGAGGCCAGTCTCACAAGAAATAACCTCCCCTAAGCAAACAAAAATCTTTCTAGGCCAGAGATGTATCAGCAGGTGCAGATAGGGTGCAGACCCAGGAGAAAGGAGGGTGTGTGTGACGTTGTGAATGGAACACAGCGCTGATGTGTCAAACTCTGTACCACTAAATCACATTGCCAGCCATTTTCCATCTCACAAGAGCTAGCGTCAGAAGGTCAGATTTATCTAACCTGACCGTGGTAGACACATCTAGACCAGGATGAAGTTCAAAATCAGTTTCCTTTCATTTATCTACTGGCTCATTAAAGACCCTTCCACAAATGGAACTACAAGGGCTAATTAAAGCATCCTGTTCAGAAGAAAACAGGGGCCAGACCAGAGAGGATGCAGGTACAGAAAAGAGCAGGGCAGGAGGAACAAGTTTGAACACAGCTGGCTTAATACGGTCTCTTTCTTTCCTGAAAGTTCAAACGCCTACCAGGCCACAGTCCTGGCGAGCAGACGCACGTGGACCCTGCGCATGCGCGCAACCAAGGCACACACCGCCCCCTCCGGCTTGTCTTCTTCAGCCAAGTCACCAACCCTCTAAATGCCCGCCCTCCAGGCAAAACCCTCGGCCAATCGGAGACAGGAGTCACTAGGGACGTCACTTCTTTTGCATATACCCGCTTCTCCCCGCCCCCATGCCTGGCACCGCCCCGTCGGAGGAACGGATTGTCACCTAAGCGTTCCGTTCCGGCTTCTGATTGGCTCTCCCCGGAGCTCCGCCCCC